TCTCTTGCACGCAAGAAAGGCGCTGGAGCATGCGACTTACACGACGGAGGTGACCCGACTCACTCAAACGTCGATAAGCTAGTCTACTAGCGGTTTTCCATCTTCGAAGAATGCGGTTGGCCGGGGACGTCGACAAGGTGATGATGACCTGTATTTAGAGGTTGAGGGAGGTCGGGGGTCTCGATAAGCGAGGTTGGAAGTCGGAGATCGGAAATCGGAAATCGGAAATTGAATATCGAGGCGCAGGCGAGCCCGTACCTGTGAAGTTCGTGGTTCGGCGCCGGATGTCGCGGATGCAAGACACTGGCCGTTTTGACGACTGGGTGGGCAGAAGCTGGGAATCGTCGGTCGGGGGGTTGTGTAAAGTCAAGGTAAACGGCCGGTCGCTTTCCCACGGTGCCGGCTCTTGGGTTCTCACTATCCCTCGAGGGCAAGGGGGAGAGGGGGGTGGGCGGATCGCAACAGAATGCTAGTGGGAGGGAGAGCCGAAAGGTAGTTGTCGTCGCGCGAAAAACGTTGGGGTCAACGTGGTCCGTAGCTCCTTCCAATGCAGCAGTCAGATCTGGCCATCCACAAGCCTTCTTTGGCTGCTGGATGATGAAGTCAGACTGATCATGGAAGGGAATGGCGAAATTCAAATCGCCAAAGTCCCCGGCCCTGATTTGTCGGACAACTCTCGGTGTGTGGATGAGAAATATTAGTGCTGGTGGTGGTCCAGGGTGGTGTCGGGGGTGACAAGACCAGGCCAATGTGGAGGAAGCTCAAGCTTCGCGGCTACCTCCGGCAAGGCGCCTCCACAATTGGCATGTACCAGCTGTTGACAGCTGTAGGTGAGGGGCCCCTTGGCGCCAAGATAGGAAGCTCACCTATTATTCATGTTTCCGGGTGTATCAAGAATAAGCTTCGGAGTATGGAGTCGAACCTTGCATGTAAATACACGGTACACTAACACCCAATCCACGTAGTGGACAACCAAGTACCAAGGCCCTTCGCCCGACTAGATCGTCAACTATTAGAAATAGGGTCCTCTTCTAGCATTCTGTCCTTGACTGGGTAGTGCCTATTTCTGCTTGGACCAATAATGACTAAGGCGGATGTACGAGCGCATACATGACTTTCGTCCCGCATTTCTTTCGTCCCTGCTTGAAGCTACCCTCTCTCTTAGCTCCGCTAATAGGTATCATGGTGTAAGTCCATAAAAGTACACCTAATACGACTAGCTTCTAGTAACCAACCTCATACCCAGCGCCTTACACCACCCCCGGTAATTAGCCAACGGAAAATTCGCGACGCTGGTCGAAGCCCTCCTGCTCCAGAAGATGTAGTATCCGCAAATCCGGGTCTCTAAGCAGCTTGCAATCCGTTTTATGACCCTTCTCGTTCCAAGAAAGGGTCTGGCATGTCTACACGGCACGTTCGAGTTAGAAAGACTCCCGGATGTTAAGGGTGCCTACCGATGAAACGTCTTCCATACCTTGTCGCAGTACCAGAAAAGGGTGCACCTGGCACACCGTTTTAAGGTCGTTGCCTTCCGGCCACATTCATGACAGGTCCTCTCGCCATTCACCTCCGTGGCGTACTTCTGTAACTTGTCGCTCAGGCTAAGCAAGTCCTTCAGCGCAACGGGAAAGATCTAATCTGGTTAGCGTGGGCCAGGATGGGACTGCCCTGTTAGGCCGGGGAAGGGGAAGAGGAAGGGGGCTACCTTCAGCGACGGGGCATCTTCGTGTCGGATCCCCACCGACGTGTCGAGGAACCTATGCTGGTGGGGGTAGAGAACGGCGATGGTGAACCCCTCACGCACTCGCGAAGGGTCCAGCTCGATGCCTCGGCCGCCAGTGTAGAACGCGACGATCGTCTTCTGGCCGGCCTTGTCCTCGACGACGAGCCTTAGGCGCAAAAACTTCTCGATCTCGACGATCTCGGCCAGGAAGCACCAGTGCTTGCGCGGGTGGTACGAGAATCCGTCGTTGGACTCGAAAAATTCGAGGTCCAGCTCGTTCTCGTCCGGTAGCCCGTGGAACGACGGGAAAGTCGAGTCATCGCGGAGGTCGGCGTATCGCCGTCGTACTTGCGTCTCCTTTATCTTCTGTTCTCTCCAGAGCCAGGTATCGAAAGCCTCCATCGAGAGGCCCGAAGGGGTTTCGCTGGTCGATGTTGACCACTGACGCGAGCTGCCATAGGAACGATGCCCGGTTGGATCCTTGGCCAAGGCCCTGTGTCGACGCACCGTAGGGCTATCGTCACCCTCTAGTATCTCCCGCGATGCAGTGGCCCTCTCGGCAAAGACACTTGCCCGCGCTCTATCGCCGTTGAAGATGGCGATCTGGAAGGCGTCGTAGTACGCCCGGGGGATGCTCCCATCAACAAGACCCTCCTCTTCACACAGCTGTAGCAGCCTGTGCACGTCATGGAGCGCCTGTAGAGGGCGGGAGATCATCGTCATTGCGTTACCGATAGCCTCGTCTAGCCGCTGTATCTCGTCCAGTCTCGCGTCGCTGTGGCCCCGCTGGGAGGGGGGAAGCGAACAGAGTGTACAGGAGCAGGAAAAGCGGAAGTTCTGCTGCAGAGTACGCTGGCGGGTGGCGCGGTTCAAGCGGTATCTGAGGTACATGATGGTAATTTCCTCGCCCTCATTGATGTCGCGGATGGCGTGGATCGTGATCTGACCAAGGTCTTCGTTCCAAGTGTTCTGGGCATTCTGGACGCAGGCGTGGTTGATGCGTGACGCCTCGACGAATATTCCGCGCTGCGAAGCGTCTGAGCCGAGGGGCAGGGCGTTCGTGCGGACGATGCCCAACTCCGGGGTTGCTTCATCCTCGAAGGCGTTGTGCAGGGAGAAGAAGACCCGCCGTTTTTCGTCGCCGAGTGTGGCTACCTTCCGAGATAGGAGTTTGCCCACCTTCCCCTTGGAGTTCGTATGACTAGACCGGGGGACCAGTAACAACGGGGCCTCGGAGAGGATGCGCCTGCCCTTGGGGATCTTGACAGCGGCAACAAGGCCCAGGCCTTTACCAGAGGTCTCCTGAAGGGTGTATAACTTGGTCGAGTCCATAGCTAATATCGCGGGGGGCCGAGACTTTGAAATATCTTCTTGTCTGAGCCGACTTTCTTCTGTTCAAGTATCCAAAGACAAAGCTTTTTTTTCGGCGGGGGGTTACTTTCAGGGAGGTCTAAGAAAACATTAGCCAAAGCTCCGATCGGTTTTTAAACCGGGGCGCTTGTAGGGATGGGTACACTGGTCCTTGCCATGCTGCGGGAGGCCATCAACTTCTGCAGAGTGTCCGGCCCCCTTTGCTCATACAGTCACTACCCATTTGATCCGAGATCCGTTGCAGGTAGCCTCAATCTTTAGTGTCGTGTAACACGGAACGCATCCCTACTGCTGGATTCTCCAATGGCTTGAAATGGCCTGACTTCTCACCGCCTCTCGGGGCCAAGGAGAATGACCCTACATAGGAGGCGGTATCTGTTTGAGCACAGGTATAGAGTGTCACAGGCTGCAGCAGTGACGATATGAGGCCGTTTCCAGATGATAGAAAGGAGGAAGAGGCGACGTGGAGCATCTAAGAAAACAATCTGGGAAGGAGCGATAGGGCTACCTCAAAAAATTTCTGACGACGAAGTCACAGGATTATTGAAACCCGGGGGTCTTGGGAGAATGCGGCCGGGCTGGCACTTAGTTTCAATAAATGCAGACACTACTTGACATGATATGTTGCCCTTCTCTACTCCATAGACGACAACCAGCGAACGATCGAATGCAGCCAGCCTCGGGCTCTCGAAGTGATACGCAACCACATCCCACGATTACCATCGGCGGCTTTGACTGCCCAGTGGAAACGCATCCACGTGCTCTACGGGGAGAACTTTGCGCGCGCATGCCAACTCCTCCCGGCGTACCCCGAAACCCCAAATATCACCCTATATAGAAGGGAGTTCCATCCGCGCCCCTACTATCCCTCAGACCAATGTATGAGTGACTCCGTTGTCCGGCCGCCCATCAGTGACGGCGATCCCGGGAACTTCGATGGCGGTATTTAGCTGACCCACATGGCCGGCTCCGGAGACCCACAATTGGCTTCGGTTCCGGTTCCGTGAGTGCTCCGGACTACCAAGGTTTTATTAGTGGGCCTGTGCTCTTAGCGTGAGTGGAATGGTACGCAGTCCTGCTAGTCCTAAATATATATTCTCCGACCAGGCCCAGTCAGGATGGCACTTGGTAGGAGCAGCAGGCTTGCGGTCCTGCATTCACTGCATGCATACTGACTTAAAGGTGTGCGACGGCGGGCAAACATTCTACGAGTACCAGGAGGAAAAGGCCGCCGAGGTAGATAAACTGCATCCCAGTGCTACAGGACAACCACGTCTGTGCAGGTATCAAAGAGGATATGAGGAAGGATGCATCTGCTTGTAGGCTGTGGCTCAAGCTCCAACCTGTCGTTCGCACAACTCTCCACACCTAGCTGCTCCTCCTCGTCCAAGTATAAAATTGGCCCCCCTAGGTGCTCCTGCGTGGCCTTATACCTCAGAAGTAGAGAGTCTATCCCGGGGTTCTAGGAAATCCTCTATAATACCGGCACCAGCTAGTTCCTGTGAATAGGGAGAATGCCCCTAAACCCTAGGCCCAAATACCTTGGGTCCAGGATATCTCTGACTATGGTTATACCTCTTGGAGTTTCTGAGAAGGAATACACCTGCCCCCCAACCAACTGTCTGCTCAAGTTCGAAATACAAAAGGTCTAAACTCCATTGGAAATGGACACTCTCCCTGTAGGCTCGATTCTTCCACCCCTGAGTCTTCTTTACACCATTCTGTCCTTCACTCCAAGTACTTGCAAGACCCAACCAACTACGCCGACCACGCCAACCCTGAGAGCTGAGGAGAACGAGTTTACCCAAGCTTAGGCGAGGTCGGATTATCGATATCTTCGCGCTTAGGTCTTTAGTGGTCCCCGCCCGCGTCCAAGGAGCAACTACATCACGCACGCCGCGTTCCGGTCTTCCTGGCTCAGTTGGTTAGAGTGTTGGTCTCATACTTCAGTATGACTCGTAAAGAAAAAACTTTCGGGGAATCCAAAGGTCGGCAGTTTGATCCTGCCAGAGGACAAATATTTCTCTTTGCGGACAACATTTCTCTTTATCTCTGTCGTACTTTTTTACTTTTAGGTACGCAACTGGATGCCATGTTTGCTATGAAGCCTTTCGATCTGCAGAGGGGGGGAACATTCGAGTACTGCCGACTCCCTTCCGTTCAGACTAACAGCCAGTGTTCATTCTCGGGCGTTCCCACCAAACACAATCCACTGCCTCACACTCTCCCGTTGACTTACACGCTCATCTGTACAAGTACGCTCATAAAAAAACCCCGAGTTGAGATTTACAGTATCTAGCACCTGTGTATGAATATCCCTAAAACTCACAACCGAAACGCCTGAGGACCGTGACCGATCCATCCTATTCTCCTTCTAAAACCCAGCTTGACCTAGCCGAGGCCTGCCCTTGTCTCCCACAGAGAATCTCCTAGTGGCCGCCCAAGCTCGATACCTGGTTCTCATAACCCCCCCTCCCCCCTTTTTTTTCCCCTAAAGGCTGGGGAAAGTCTCGCCTCAGGGAGATGTCACACCTCTCACATATGGTTTTCCGCCCAGAGCACGTCATCGTCGCAGGGCCGATCATCCTCGGGATCCATCTCCGCCTCCAACTGGCCTAGCTTCCTAAGCCGCGCCGACTGCACCGGCACCGCGAACAGGCTGTGGAGCGGCTTCTGGACAGGTGCAGCCGGCCTCGGCCCCGCCTTCACCGCCTGCTCGGCGCTGTAGAGCCTGTCGTAGAACTGCACGACCCTCGGGTGCGCCATGACCTTGCTCTTCTCGAACCGCAGCACCTGCAGCCCCTGCTGGCTCGTCGCCCGACTGAGCGCCACATACGCCTGCCCCTTCTCAAAGGTGCGCGTGAGGTCGACCTTGACACGCTCCAGCGTCTGGCCCTGCGCCTTGTGGATCGAGAGTGCCCATGCGAGGATGAGGGGTATCTGCGACCGCTTCGCCTGCACCTCGCCGTTGGGTAACTCGACCTTCCACTCGTCCGGTATGCACTGCAGGGTCCTGTGGCTCCCGTCCGTGCATAGGAACTCGACGATCGGGAACGGGACGCCGACGTGCGAGGTCTCGGGGTTGTTCGCGAACTTCTTCAGCTTCTTGACCGCGCGGTCGAGGTCGATGGGCTCATCCGCCGTCGTCCCGTCGCCGCCCCCTGAGGTGGCCCACTCCGCCTCAGTTATGAACTGCTTGACCTTGCCGATCGTGCCGTTGCATAGTTGCTCGTCGATGTTCTTGATCAACATGACTTGGGCACCCACCTTGAGGTCTATGAACTTGGGAGCCATCATGTTTGCTAACAACCTCTCCTTCAGCTTCGGATCGCCAGTGTCCATGGCGTCGAAGCGGTAGGCTTTGCTCGGCAAGGCTTGCAGTCGTCTTTGGTTGGACCTCTCGACCTCGCTGCGCGTGGGGAAGAGTTCCGTCGCTTCCACGCCGTCGTCGAACTGCAGTGGCCTCGACAGTTGCTTGAAGGCTCTCACCGATTCATCGCTGACTTTCCCGATGCGCATCTCATTGAGCATCTGCGCGAATGTTGGGTCCTTCTGGCGGAAGACCTGCGTCAGACCGATGGTGTGGGCAATAGAGGTGCTCCATGTGCTAGCCTCAAACGCAAACTGAACCGCTCTTGCGTCCCTATCCGGGACGGGTGGCAGCTGGAAGAAGTCGCCCGTAAGGACCAGCTGGATACCACCCCATGGACGTCCATTGTTGCGAATGGTGCGGCCGATCTGGTTGAGCTTGTCAAAAAGTTCTCCGTCGACCATGGAGATCTCGTCAATGATGAGGCACTTTGTCTTTAGCCAGCGACCCTTGGCCTTGGGGTTGCGTCGGATTTTCTTGACAAGAGTCGGCGCGTCCTCCTTCCCAAGCCCGATACCTAGAGGGGGGGGGTTAGCTTGAAGCGGAGAGGGGGGGAGATAGACACTAAAAGATTGACTGTCTAAGTTGGGGATGTGGGCGGATGCATACCCGAGAAGCTGTGGAGTGTAATACCCCCGATGTTGCAGGCTGCTAGGCCGGTGGAAGCTGTCACGGCTAGCCTCTCAGGGTCCTTCGCCCACTTTCTCTTGAGCTCCGTGATGATTGCCCTCATCAACACAGACTTTCCTGTTCCCGCAGGGCCGGTGAAGAAAACGCTCTGGCCCTTCTTCGTCACAAGGTCTAACACCTGCCTCTGCTCTGTGCTGAGGAAGATAGATTCTACCCCCTTGGTTCCCGAGCTAGTGACATTGCGAATGTCCTCCAGGGAATAATCATTGGGTTTGGAAGGGGGGTTATAGTCCATGGCTTTGGGAGGAGGGTTCCCTAGATCCGCACCCCCTGATTGCGTCCGTTGTAGTTTGTGTGACCTTCGTTGCTCCTTTATAGCGCTTGCCGTGATTTCTGAAAGGTCGTACTTATTCTCCTTGGCGACGGGGGTAGGATTCGCACCCCCACCATGAGAACCACGGGGCACGTAAACTTCTGGCTCCTGGAACTCGGTGCTTGATGTAAATGGCAGACTGCGCCTCTTGGGCGCCGATTTTGGTGTGGTGTCGTCTTGCGATTTCCTCTTCAAGGACTGAGCGCTGGCATCGGACACTTTCGAGTCTTCCCTCGAAATTGGGGGTGGCTGCATATGATGTGCGGGGGAAGAGCTCCAAGAAAATATACTGTTCTGCGAAGACGGAACAACATTTCGGTTCTCGGGAGGGGCGGTCGGCGGAAGTAGAGGCTCCGGTATCTGCTTAGTGGGGGGTGCGGCAGCTGGGGGGCCATTGAAATCGAGGTCCAGGTCATCGTCGTTCTCCGCAAACCACTCGAGGTCTTGGTCGAGCGAAGCAAAATTCTCGCTAGTCCAAGCCTTGCCATGCACTTCATCCTTGAACGGGTCGGCGTTGGAAGCACAGATGGACTGGAATCGAGGGCCACTGCTGGGCTGAGAATTCCCCGAAGTGGGAACAAGCGGCTTTGATGGTCTCGGTGAGTCTAGGTTTCCCGTAGATGTGTGACTGCCAGGATTCGCGCGGGATCCCCTTTGAAACGCATCCTTGATGTTGCCATTCTGACTCGAGGGTGGGCGGTTGGGACTGCTTGAGAAGAGAAGCTTGCTCAACTTCGAGTTTCCCTTTGCCTGGGAGTGGAGAGTCCGAGATACGATGGCCTCCTCCGCGGCGTATCTGGCCTCCCCGGGTTGAGTCATTGGGACTTCAATCGGGTCAGTAGTATCGTAGTCGATATGACTCGCACTGGTGGTGCACACGCGACGAGCTTCGAAGTGGGCCGGGGACCTCGAAGATTGGAGGACCCTGCGTCGAGAGGGTGACGGTCGTAATGACAGGCGGAGGAAAGCAGCTATCATGTAGGAGTAGCTCGATGCAATATGACCATTGCCGCGGGGGGGTTAAATTATTTGGGGGCAAAGAAGAATGAGGCAAGGAGGAGAAGAAGCGAATTGTTTCGTTCTCAGCTGCTCAGTCGTGGGATGGTGGGAACTAAGTGCAACACGTCCCGATGGAAAGCACAGGGGCATAGACGCGTCAAAGTAGGTCGCGGTGAGGGGCGTTGTGCTAGTGCTGTGGTACGTGGTACAACTATCATTAATACATAATTTGTTTTGAACGGTATCCAATAATGAATCGAAACAATGTTAGTGCATACGCTAGAAGACTGTGTGGTATGCACGGACGCCAGCCCTCGTGACTCGGCGCATTCTTATCGATAAGCACTGGCTGGAGATTAGCCTTTCTGCAACGGGGAATAATAATTTCGGTGTACAAGGGTAAGTGGCGATGGCCTCTCGGCATGGACTGTGTCCCCGTGCATCCCCAACCCGACATTTACCTCTCCCATATCCTATCCTCCACCCACCGCCTTCATAGGAACTATAGCACTCCCTGGAATTGCCTGAATTAGTCCTGTTCACCCTTCCGAATAAGGAGTGGTCTCTTCATGGATACGCAGACGATCGTCTTGTCCTGAGACGGCAAGAGGTCACCTCTACGGCCCCCCGTTTATATCGCCATCCGCCTCCAGCTTTGCGCCCTCTCCACCACTCCCTGCGGCCGACCAATTCACCGCGATAGTCCTCTTAGGTCGTCGATTACGATTGCCTCCATCCCGCTCGACGTTTTGGCTGGCTGAAGGCGTGGGACATTCCTCGGACGCACAACTGAACTCCCGGACAACCGCACACCCCGCACGAATCGCAGCCCACCATGGCGAGTGAATTCATAGGCCTGGATTTTTTGGTGACCTTGAGGGAGCCGGCTGGCCTGCAGCTGAAAGGCACCATAAGTGATATCACCATCACGGATCCTGTTGCCGGCCAGAGGGGCATTATTCTAAGTAATGGTATGTTCTTGGGCTTGAACTTTGCGACTCTGTTGGATATCCCGTTACCACTGACGACTATATGCTAACCTTGTGATCCAACCGCCTAGTTTTTGTTGTCGGCACGCAGAACCAGTGGTACCCTCGCCTCGAAGTTGCCTCGGACAACATCCAGGATCTTGCCGAGGTGAAGCGCGACTCGAGGCCGTCGACTTTCACTGCCCCCGCCGTTAGTGCCGTGTCAGCACCGGTGTATGCACAGCCTACGAAGCCCGTTTTCGACGATCCTGCGATCCTCAGCGTCGGTTTATCGAAGTCAGATTCTACATCTACACCGCAGTCGGCCGATGCTCCCCAAGCGATCACGAGTGGCAACGAGGGCGGGCGTCAGCCTACGACGACGGCGCAGCCACATACGGGTGGTCGCATCACCAACCATCCCTCGCGGGAGAAGACACCGGAACTTCCTGACGCCGTAGACAGCCTTCGAATAGACAGTCCCACCCCCCCTTCACGAGCGACTCCCATTGAATTGGACGGTGTGGCTCAGGATCTCCCCGTACAGACAGGCAAGAAGAAACGGCGCGATCGACGGAAGGCGGGGCCCAAGTATCCCTACGTACAGGATGCGGCTGGGCACCTTGACAGCTCGCCTTCAGGGGTAGCGACCGCGCCCCGTGGAAAGGGGTGGAGG